GAGTTTTATTGCAGAGTTTCAGAAGCCTGACAAAAGCTAACCAGGTGACCAACTGAGTTATGTCGCCATTAGAAGGAAGCTTCCAGGCAGCTGTAATTTAATGTCACTGCTACCTGAGTGTTGAGTTCTCCTGGGAGCCCAGATCTCTGGGGGATTCTGTTTTAAGAGAAAACCCACCTTCAATAAAAAAAAAACCACCTTAATCACCCTTTATGAAAGAGACCTCTCTCCGATGCAATACAGTCTGCATCTATAACCCCAGCAGATGTCAGACCGTGGAACGCAAGAGAACGACAAGAGCAGATTTGGCCCCGTGGGATGCACCAAATACTCCCTTGGCTTAGTGTATTAGCCTGGCAAATTGAAAATTATCTGTAGCATATTGTTCAGATTCTCACCCACACATGGAGACCCGGCACAGCCAGTCACATTTCAGCAACTCCTTCCCCACTGTCAGCAACAAGAGTTAACGTCAGTGTCCTGCACACAGGTGCAAAGTTGGCCCTGTTTTCCTCCCTTTGGTCCAGGCTGCCCCATATGTGATCAGGATTGATGGGTCTTCTCAAAACCAACTTGCTTGATTTAATGCCCAGCCACTCTCAGAGGGCTCAGGAGGGGATCCATCAAGAGGAGAAGGTGATGGGGATTCTGGGAGCATTCATTGTCCACTCTGATTCATGTCAAAACCTAGGGCAGACTGTCCCTGGGGTACTGTGACTGTGTATTTGCAGGGGTAGTGTGCAGCCCCATCTGGTCATTGACAATCCACAGAGAAGCAGCCCTCTTCCTGGCTGCCCACCACTGCCATGAGGAACCGGGCCAGGCACCTCCCTCCCAGTAGCCCCAGGCTCATTCTGCATCTGGACAGTAGTACACACAACATTCAAAAGCAGGCACAGCCCAAGGTCTTAGCTGGCAACTGGAGTGGACAATCCTCAAAGCAGGTGATGTGAGCTTATCTGCGCCTCGCTGGCCACCTCTCCCTTTTGCCTTGGAATCATGAGGTCACCTCCTTTGGCAAAGTGCAAGCTAAGAGCTACGTTGGACCCATCAGTTCCAGAAGATCGGTGTACAGGCGAGTTCCCCAGCTGGGGGTCTCGGGCCACATGGTGAGCTCTATAGGTGGGCCACTGAATGTTCATGAACTGAGATCTTTCTAGACTTATTTGAGGGCAGCGGCAACAGTCCGTTCTTTTGTTGGTTTGAAGGCTGGTTGACAGGAAAGATGACAATTCCTTTCTCCACCACCTCCTGACATCAGAACCCAAGCTGCACACCCACCAATGACAAGAAACCATAACACCACCTATGCCTTGTGCCCTAGAAGCCTGGCGGCATGTTCTAGAATTCTTCAGGGTCCCTGAAAACCTCATACATGATCTCAGCTCAGAGAGAAGCAAGAGCCTGCCTTCCTCACAGGCGACGCAAGCAGTGAAGAATGCAAAACAGAAGGAAGACGTTCATTCATGTGGGCTGCGCGGTTTACACTGGAAACAAACAAACAATCAAAAAGTTGTGCGACAGAGCAAGTCGGCAAACAGCTCCAAACCCAGCGCTCTCGGCAGACATGAATCACGGCGTGTTTGTGATTCACTGCTGGCTTAAAGACAGATGCTGTGTGAGAAGGGTGGACTTTTGGGGGAGTCCGGGGAAGATGCTGCTTTCTGGAACCAGCGGGGATGGTGCCCCAATGCCTGGGGCTAAGTTTCCGATCTCAGGTCCCTTGCCCAACCTCCTTAAATCTTGTGGGCCTGATAGAGCAGATTGAGCGTGAAGAAAGGGCATGATTAGAGATGGGCTTAGCGAGCAGGGCATGCTTCCCGCTGTAACAATAGCACTGACTTGACCCTGTGCTCTGTATTTCAGCTTTGCTCTCACTGGAATGAGCAGGGGGAGGGTGCTGGGCCAGGCAGAGCCTTCTGCAATGATCAGAACATCTTATACCCAGGTTTGCACTGCCTTTCTATCTGAGAGGTAAGAGGCTTTCCTGTATCACCCAACCCTGGACCACCCCTCAGTAAGCAAGAGGTGGCCTCCAGGAGAAAAAGGAGGCCAAGGACAAGACATGGCACCCATCATTTTCCCCTTCGCTCCTAATGCCCTGCTCCGTGGCCCCTCCACCATCTGTCTACTTGTTGATTACTGTGTTTCTGTGTTGACTATGCGCACCCACAGCGGACCATACAACCCACACACAAGGACGGGACTACATCCCTCTCACTCGCAGTCCTGCAGCCAACATGGTAGAAGACTGATGGGCTAATGAGTGACGTCCAACCCCGATGAAACACACACCTCTGTGTGCAAGTGATAGCCTAAGGAATTACAGGCGGACCTGAGAACAGCGCCAGGCATCGGGAGTCCCAGTGCCTTTCTGACTGGAGCCCATGAGCACATTGGGGCTCATGTGCACCAAGCTTGCTCTCCTAAGAGGGTGATGGGCAACTGATGGGACAAAGAAAACATGGGTCCTGGTGCCAGCTGGGATAAATGACAGGAGACCTCCAGTCTGAATGTGGATGTTATGATCTAGCCTCAGCTCTGTCTCCCCATCTTGCCTTTCAAGAGTTTCAGAAGATCCTAGACCACCTGGGAGAAGGGAAACGATGATCTCCTCATATCTGTCTCTTTCTCTTCCTCTTTCCATGTATCTCTCCTTTCTATGTGTGTGTGTGTGTGTCCTTCTGTCTTTCTATCTCTGTCTCTCTCTATACATATATATGCATATACCCACATACATATATTTATATGTATACACACATACATACATATATATGCATGCATGTACGTATCCCTACTTTGTTTATTCCGCAGAGCCAAAACAGAGACTGTACCAGATGTACTCTGTCACTAAGCTGATAAGCTGGGCATGTGATGGCCACTGAAGATGGCTGCCCGCAAGAAGGGTACTGCCAGAGGCTACAGTGTTGCTGGGAGATATTTGGGATGCTTGAGAATTAAGAAGGCAAAGTTGATGTTAACAGTCAAGGCAACTTCCTACGACCAAGTGCAGAGAGTTGGTAAGGGATGACTGAGGAGTCAGAGGTGATTGAAGACTACCCAGACTAGAGAGGACCAGAAGCCCACGGGAGGAACCCAGGACCTCTACTTTTCCTGCAGAGAGGCCGCCCCGCCTGCCTTGGGTGTCCACATGCCCTCACCTCGTGTGGGAAGCAGCCTTTGGGATGGGGTGGTACCACACACCTAGGTCTGTCTCAGGAAGTCTGGAGGCTTCCTTGGCTGTGCTGAGAAACCTCATCCGTCACACCCGTTATTTAAAACCAAAAGTAACCGCTTGCCTCTTGGAACTGCAGCAGATGGAGAGCGACGGTGTGGGGAGTAGAAGTGGCTAAGCCTAGAGACGGGCTCAGCTGACCTTGCAGTGAGGTGGCTTTCAAGACCAAAAGCTGTAGTGGGGGACAAGTGGACACTCGCAATCGGCAAAGGGCTTGCTGACTTGGAAGCCAAACGGGTAAAACCTTTAGGGACGTCACCACCGATGTCACCCTCCTTGCATACCTTGCTAAAGGTCAGCACCTGAAGCAAGCAGCCAGACCTATCCTTGGAGGGCAGTATCTGCTAGCAGACGCAGTTCCAGAGGTGAAGGACAGAGGGGTTCTCACACTTGACCACCAGGCCCTACCGCCAGATGGTAATGTAATCTCTCATCTTACCCTGCTCACCCCAGAGCCCACCTCTGAAGAGAGAGCTTGGGGACAACGGGAGGTGCAGAGAAAGATGCTCGTCTCAGAGGCATGGAGGGGAATCCTGGGGACCTGGTGCTGTAACCCGGCCATGCTACAGCAGCAAACACTGTCATGTTTGGGGGCTGGGTGGGGGCAAAACAAAAACAAAATCCAAAAGAAGCATCTTCCAAGTTTTTTTTTTTTTTTCGAGACAGGGTTTCTTTGTGGCTTTGGAGCCTGTCCTGGAACTAGCTCTGTAGACCAGGCTGGTCTTGAACTCACAGAGATCAGCCTGCCTCTGCCCCCCGAGTGCTGGGATTAAAGGCGTGCGCCACCATCGCGCCCTCTTCCAAGTTTTTGAGCAAAGTCCTGAATACAGATCTCAACAAGTCCAAATTGTAAACACACCACCTCCCTTCGTCATCAGGCTCCGCTCTCAAGTGTCCAGAGGGATACGAAAGCTAACTTTGAAAAGCACATGTCATGTCAGGTTGTCCCCAGAGTGCAAAGTCCCTGGGAAGAGACAAAACTGACCACTTAGACATAAGTGAGGGCAAGAGAGGCTGCCTGTCTGGCCTCTAGCCTTTCAGCCCGTCTGCAGACTTCCTCTCCATTCTTCCCCTCCTTCTCCCACTGGTGACCTGGAGTCCTACCTGAGTAGTGCAGAGGGAACACATCCCCGGGAGAAGATCCCTGACACCTGGCTGAGTCACAGTGAGGTTGTGAGATGGCTCAGCGATTCAGGGCATGGGTTCTCTGTTCCTCCAGAGACGCAGGCTTGGTTCCCAGCACCCTCAGGGAAGCTCACAGCCACCTGAACTCCAGTACCAGGGGGTCTGGCCACCTCTCAGGCATCCATGACCATTGCACACACATGATACACATAATACAGGGAAGACACGCATACGCACAAGGAGTGTAGAACAGATCCACAGGCTCCTCCCAGCAGATGCTACTGATAGGGAGCCTAGGGGACAGGGAGATTAGCTGAGATCGGCTGTGGAGAGACGCCTGCCACAGGGATGAGAGTTATTCCAAACCAGGGCGTATACTAGGGATACACTATGAGGCTGGGGTCCGATAGAAGCCCCAAAGTAACATCGCCATGAGAAAACATGTCACTAGGTCCTCAGTTTCCCCTACCTTCCTCGTCACACCTGGCCCAATGAAAACCACCACCAATGGAAGGAGACAGCCCGTACCAGAGCATAGTCCACAGGGATCACCTGGGCTTGGCACACACAGGATCATGGAGTTCTGATCCCTCCTGGGCTCCCAAGTGCTGCCCTGATATAAGCACACACCGTGTATGGATATATTCCTTTAATTATAGAACTGAAAAATCTCTTTAATTCAGTCTATGCTTGTATAACACAAATGTTTGAGAATCCACCACCCGCCCAACCTGGTGCTCAGGCTCACTCGTTGGCAGTCGGCTACATGAACGCGTGTGGCTGTTAGCATCTTCAGACAGTTAAAGGAAGAAACGGAGCACGGATCATGTGGGTGAACACAGAGAGAAAACCACAGCATTCTTAATTCTGGCCCAAGGTGAGAAGCCACACACCGAGTGCCGTTCGGCAAGTATCTGGCAGATGAAGGATGTCATGTACAGGCCTCCTCATCTGGGTTGAGGCTGTCCCCCTGGATGAATGGCGATGGAATACCGGGCCACCTGCAGAACCGCTTCTCCGATATATGCATATAAATGCTTGTGTGTCTGTGTGTGCAGGTGCGTGTGTGTGTGTCCGCAGCATGTGATGTGAGTTGCCCAAGTACAAAACACGAGTTTATTCTGTTCATACTAAGCATGGTAAATAAATCAAGTTTGTAACTAGAACACAATTCTTTGTTTTGTTTTGTTTTTTTAAAAAGGAACATTGAAGATCTTCAAAAATTGCTACAGTACAAAAAAAGTGTGTGTGTCTGTGTTGGTATTTATATATTTATATATGTATATTAACCAGAAATAGTGACTCTACCGGAAGTGATCCCCCACCCCTGTCCTCTGTAAGATTTCTCCACGTGGTTTGCTGGGCTCGGCTCCGGCCGAGCTTCCGGCTCATTTCATGGCACATAGTGGTATTATTGGCACAGGTTCAAAATCGTGGTGCGAGTCCCAGGCGTTGGGAGCTGTCTCCTGACCTTCTGCTTGGCTTTCTCTACTGTCTCTAGTCACTTCTTGCGTTTCTTTCTGCTCTCCGAAGAAAACTCTGGGAGAAGGGAGCGCCCCTAGGCACGAGCAACATTACAAAAATAGATTTGGCCTTGGGTGTCCTGCTCTGCCGAGTTTCCCACTGGCAAACAGAAGTAGCAGGTGCGGGACCCTCCCCTTAGTTTAGTTTTAGGTTTTATAATTTTTTGTTTTGTTGTTTTGTTTGTACAAGTTCACCAACGGAATCCTGTGGAGGAAGGAGAGAAGAGATTAAATGGCACCATGCCCTGGGGCACGAGAAGGCTTCCTGCCCGTACAAAGCCCCCCACACCCACTCTGGTTATCAAGGACTGGTGGGGTCAAGAGGAAGGGCTTCAGTCCCATGTTCAGGGCCTCCCAGGAAGGGGTGGGCCTGAGGCAGGACAGAAAGACACAGGAAATCTGGGGGGCAACAGCAGGAAAAAGAGCCCAGACATCTGAGTGAAGACCCTCACCAGCATATTACAGCTGTTAAGGCCTTTCCCGTTTCCTCTAGAGCCAATCTGTTACCTTACAACCAAAGAAACAGAGGCAAAGAATGGGTAGGTTCTGAGAAAAACCTTGAGAGACAGAATTCCAAAGAGCTTCTGACCGCCCATCTACAGTCACCCCTTGCTAAAGTACAACTTGCTCTTTGGGAAGCCCACACCCATGCTCCTGTGGGTGTCTTAATTTCTTCTGAACACCTCTTCTACTGCTAACCCTTAGTCTTAAGCTTATATTAAAACATCTCTAACAAAACTCCCAACTCTGCTTAAGACATCAGTCCTGAAATCCTTTCCGGTGTTAAAGCCATAAATTCTTCTTTGTTCTGGGTTGAGCTCAGGAGTGCTCCAGCTTCCAAGGGTGGCGATGTGGAGCTGTCCCCTCACCTCTGACAGGTCCGTCTCCTCCATTAACTCATACGGAACACAGCAGTATCCCAACCATGCATGTCATTGGCTACTATGTTCACCGTAGTCTTCCTCGTTCCCTCTTTAACCCACAGTGGGAAGAGCTTTGCTTGCTACACCTACAATGCAGGAAGGAACCTACAGGTTCCGTTTCCATCCACCGTAGCTGGAGACACACTAGGACCAAGTCTCAGGACAGACGTAAGGCTCTATCAGCAAAGCCAGCCTGAGTCTCTCCAAGAGGGAAAGACAGGGACTCCGGGGAGGCCAGTGGCTGCAACATTCTCTAGCAGGCTGGTCAGGAAAGGATACCCAGATGGTACATGAAAACACAGCCTTCTAGCGAGAGAATCCGGTGATGGGCATGAGGGTGCAGCACGTGCCAGGCATGGGTGGTCCCATTTGGTGCTGTCTGAGTTATGCGGTGATGTGTGTGGGCCTCCACTCCACTCAGTGCTCTCACTGAAGCCCCCCCCCCCCCCACACACACACGATTACAGGCCACCGAGACCCTCAGGCAGAGAGGAAAGTCCCTCCACACCTGTAGACGACACAAGTCAAAAGGCAAGCGTCCCAGTGGTCCTTAGATGAAGCTGGCAGAAGGACACAACTTGAATGCTGGCGTTGTCCCACAGTTACCAAGCCAAGCAAATGGCCAGACTGGAAGATCCATCACAGCGTGTTTAGAACCTTCTGGAAACATATGCCCCGAGCCTCCTCTGGAGACCTGGAAGCTAGCTGTCCGGCCAGGGTCTGCGACCTGGTTTTTAATAGTTCCTGCAGTTGCAGTTAGGGTGGTGATGGGACCCAGCTCTCCCAGAAGGCTCCAGCGTGGCATCCTTCCTCCCATCTCAATGATGGTGGGCTTTGCCTTGGAGTTGTGGGCAGGGCTGGCAGGCCTGCCCTTGCTCAGTTCATGACCCATGTTTGTGCCCAGAGTCTTGACTTGTCTCTCCAGTGAGACGGAGAAGAGAATTAAAGGCGCTGCTCCTCCCCTCCACTCCATGTGACCCAGAGTAAACAGAGGCTCCACGAATACCCCTCTAACTTGCCTGCCATCTCCAAAAGACTCCTGTTTGGAGCCTCTGTGAGGCCTAAGCTGAAGATCCACTAGGCCTCTGTGGGGCTGTCCACCTACTGTGGACCTCAGGCGACCTTGCATAAAGGAAAGGGACATCGGGTCAGATCAGCGGGTCCTCCTCCAGCTATGCACCCAACCCCATATTCAGGTATCAAGGGATAGAAGGTTTCAAACAAAGACACAATTTAATGTAGGGAGAACGAGTCATCTTGTGTGCCTGTTTTCATCTCAACATTTCTGAAGTTAAAAAAAATAATATTGTGTGAAACCACTAACACGAGTGAGCCAGGGCATGCTTTGAAGGGGCACGTGGTGGGTGTGGTTAGAGTGTGCATCTGCACAGATATTAGGGATGCTGATGTTCAGAGGGAGTTTTAGTGGGGATAGTCTGACATAATTAATGCCACTGAACGGCACACGTAAGAGGAGTTAAGGGGCCAGGGAGACGGCTCAGTGGGCAAAGTACCTGTTGTGCACCATGAAGACCTGAGCTTGGATCTACAGGACCCACACAAAAGCTAGGCATGACAGCGTGTGTCCACAACCCCTGTGCTGTGAGACAGAGACAGGAGAACCCCTGGTCTCGCTGGCCAGCCAGTCTAGCAGAATTGGTGAGCTTTGGGGTCAGTGAGGGACTCTCTCAAAAAATATGGTCTCTGGCCTTCACACACAAGCACATACCCACAGGAACACATGGGCAACAATAGCACACACGCATACACACACGCACGCACGCACACTTACACACAAAGAGACAGAGCTAGACAGACAGAGATAGAGAGACAGAAAGGTTTAAGTGGTATTTATTAGTTCTAGCTTTCTACAAATACATGTATTTTTTTGTTTTTCGAGACAGGGTTTCAAATACATGTATTTTTTTTAATGGGCTCACTAAATGTTGGCCTTGTCAGCAGTGGCCTAGGTCAGTGTAACATGGGTGACTTAGTTATCTGCCCCTATTCTCATTGTTTATTGTTTGTTTATTAGGACAGGGTCTCTCTAGGCAGCCTAGCCTGGGCTTCCCCTTGCTAGTTGGAGCTTGCACAGACCTGGCTTCTGGTGACTGGTTCCTGTTAGAACCTGGTTTCCATCTAAGGTCAGCTATGTAAGTCACAGGGCTGCCCCACTTTCGTGAGAAAGGCTCTTGTTGGGGTGGGGTTCTGGTCCCTGATCCTGATCTTAGACAAAGCAAGGCTGGAGGAATGGCCCTGCCCTTTCCTTGCCAGCCTTTTTCTGGACACTCCCACGTGGGACTTTTATCCTTTGCTTTTCCATGCTGGCTCCTTCTTCTCCCTCTCCAATTCATAGTGGTACACAGATCTCAGACTGCTTATCTCGGCTGACCTCTCTCCTCTATTCAGACATGCCCTCAATTTCTATGTCTTTCTTCCCTGGGATTTTCAGCCAGGCATTCATGACGCATCCCTGGCAACAGGACCTTCCCTGCGTACAGGTCTCCAGTGGGGGTCACTTCAGGTTCCCTTAGATTCCTGCTCTGTGTCTTTGTGGACTGGTACCCAACACCAAAGGAAGCTAAGAGGCAGATACAGGTAGTGATATTTTGTTTGTGTTTTATCAAATAAAGCTTGCCTGAATATCAGAGCTCAGAGCTAAGTCACTAGAGGCCGGGCAGTGGTGGCATACACCTTTAATCCCAGCACTCTGGAGTTACACGTCTTTAATTCCAGCACTAGGGAGGTAGAGACAGTAGTGATATGACTGGGTGGAGACAGAATCTCAGTGTTGTTTGAAGTCTGGTGGAGAGCTTTGCAATCTGCAGTCACACTGAGGACAGGATCGCCCCTTTGTTTGTTTGAGCTTTGGAAAAGGTGAGAACTCTCTAGTGGCTTGGCTGCTTTGCTTTTCTGATCTTCAGCTTGAACCCCAATATCTGTCTCTGGGTTTTTATTATTTGTGCTACAGACAAGGCCCAGTGCCCCATTTGGGGTCACCAACACGGATCTTTCTTGACCTAAAACCCACTCCCAGGACGGCTTGTCACAGGGGCTGTCCCTGTGAAGTGATCTTGTGGAGCCACACAGGGAGGAATCTATTCCAGGACCATGAGCAGCTGTTAGCAGGTAGAGGAGAGAGAGACTGGGCCTCTGATAGCCCTGACATTGTGCCTGCCATTGTCACCACAGTGCTGGTTCCTTTCAGAGAGCAGAAGAGGGTCCAAGCAAGGGAGGGACACCATCCCAGTCTCAGGCCAGGGAGGACAGAGCACTTAGTCCTGCTGCTCTGGCCTATGGTGAAGAATGGGATCTCTAGCTGCAGGGGCTCAGTGCAGGAGCCCCTTGGTCCCGAGCTGGAGAAGGACCAGGAACCCAGGCCAGGCAGAAGGCCACCACCTAGCAGGAGGTGGGACTGGACCCCACAGAAACAGGAAGAGAAACAGGGAAGCTGGGAGCCGCAGAGCAAACAGACAGGGAAGATGTTCTGCAGAGAGCTGCAGAACAATCTCACGGATAAATTCTGGGATAGATTCTGCCCCCTGCTGATTGGAAGGAGATTGGGCAATGGGTATCCTAAGCTCATGGGCTTGATGCTCAGCCTCTGCCTTTGAAAACCAAGACCACAGAGCAGCCTGGTCCCTGGTGCCACAGCTCTGAAGCAGTCACAGTCAGCACAGCCTGAAAGGGCACCTGTGCCCCCATGTTTTCTTTGTGTGGATTATCAGAAAGCACAGCTTCTAGAAGGTTCTCTGTGCTACTTCTAAAGAAGTATTACTTTGAGTAACAAGAGCTTTGTATTCTATGGATATAGTGTGTGTGTGTGTGTGTGTGTGTGTGTGTGTGTACGTGTGTACATGTTCCAGCCTGTGCACATGTATGTAGATGTCAGGGATTGACTCTGGTGTTTTTCTCAATCTCCATCCACCTCAAGACAAGGTCTTTCAATGAACCCAGTGCTCACAGACTGGCTGGGCAGATTGGTGGGCTGTGTCTGGCTTTTCAGATGTGTGTTAGGGGCCTGGAAGCAGTTTACCCACTGAACCATCTTCCCAGCCCCCGAGGTGTGTTTTATTTTGTTCTGGGGGAGGGCTAAGGCATGTTCCAGTTTTTCATCAGCTATGTGCTTCAATTTGTTCCTGAGAATATTAATAATGATTTATCTCTTGTTACTCCAGATGCAAGAGTCATTATGGTTTTCAAGGCGCTGTTCAGAAGGAAGCGGCTTTGGCAAGTAGGGCGAACTGAACTAGGTCTAATGGGGTTTTCTGAAGTTCAGTCAACCATCCTTGTTGGGGAAGTAGGGGGATAGCAAGAAATGAGCCACGAACAAGCGGCAGGTGAGCCTCTGAGGTTCCTTTATTCCTTGGAGTACAGGAAGCCAGCTTCATCTGGTTCTATCCAGAGCTAACTGCATCCACTGTGAGGTGGTCTATGGCAAGGTTGGCCTGAAGGAAGGAAGCAGGCGCTTGCTTGTCATGAGCCCTGGGTTTCACCAGGAGCCTGTCTGCAGGGAAGGGACAGGTACCGCTTACATATACCTATTCCTGCGAGGAGACAGGAGTGTGTTGGGGTAAGAATCTGCTACACTGGGGCCAGCAAGATGACTCAGAGGGTAAAAGAGCTTGCCTCAAAAGCCTGAAGACCTGAGTTCAATCCCCAGAACACATTGTGGAAATAAAGAACTGACTGGAAGGTTGTCTCATGTCCAACTGTGCGCTATATACACGCCCATGCATGTAGACCCACACAGACCAACAAAGACCCACACAGACACACAGAGACCCACACAGACACACAGAGACACACACAGACCCACACAGACACACAAGGACACACCCAGACCAACAAAGACCCACACAGACACACACAGACACACAGATACACACACAGACCAACAAAGACCCACACAGATACACACAGATACACACAGACACACAGAGACCAACAAAGACACACACAGACACACAGATACACACACAGACACACACAGACACACACAGACACACAGATACACACACAGACCAACAAAGACCCACACAGACCAACAAAGACCCACACAGACACACACAGACACACAGAGACACACACAGACGCACACAGACACACAGATACACACACAGACCAACAAAGACCCACACAGACACACAGAGACCCACATAGACACACACAGACACACATACACAATAGACAAAACAGATTCTTAGAAAGAAATTGCTACATCACCAATAAAAAGCTACCTAAAAGTCTTAAAGGTTCTACAAGCGACAAACAGACTATTAAACCTTAATTAAATGTTTCTTTCTATTAATTGCTGTTTATTTAACGGACAACAAGTGCCCGTGTAAATCTGAGAGATCTCTCTGGCAGGTCTCTGCTTGCTGCTCGTGCCCAGGCATTAATTATAAGAACAAGGGGATACTTAGAATCCGAAGGCTTTCATCCCAGTGAGTGATGAATAGCTTGCCCGGCACAGGGCGATGGGATCTTTAGGCATTTATCAGAGACTAATGAGGCTCTTTGCACATCTCGCCTGGTTCTGGTCTACAGAAAGTCACCGGGGGTGAAGCAAGGCAGGCACGGCGACAGAGTTTGTCTGTTATGCAAGGAGATGCAACACCTAGTTCTACCCAATCCAGAGGCTCCTGTGATGCACAGGGAGGGGCAGTAATGGTCTGGAAAAAGGTGTTCTCACATAGATGGAGTCACTCTCAAGTGTCTCCTGGGGCAGCTACATCTTATACCCCACCCAAGATCAGTGTACCAAGACATCCAATCAAAACTGTGGGAGAGAATGCCAGGGGAAAGACAAGAGGGTTTTCTGGAACTGAGGAACAAATAAAATCACAGTCCTGCCACCCAAACTCTATATTCCTGGAAATGTTCATTCTGCTGCTCCCTGCAAGAAGGCTGCAGAGCTCAGGCCCTTGAGCCCTTGGGACTGGTCCTCCTGTAGCTCTATCCTACCCTCAGCCAGACTACAGCTTGGGGCTGTCCTGGGGTGAATGGAGGCACTTGGCATAGAGAAGGGCATGGTCTCAGATCCTGCAAAGGGTTTGCAAAGCAGAGACATCTGAAGGGTAGGCAGTATGACATCCTGGCACTAGACAACCTCGGGTGACCGACCTTACCACTGACAACCTAGAGCACCATGGTTAAATCGTCTGCTTTTCCTCAGCCTCAGTTTCCCTCTTTGTGGATAGGCTTGCTGTGGGGAGTAAATGCCCTTCTGTATGGAAAAAGTGGCTTTTCTAATGGCCATCTATATGACAGAGTTGCCCCGGGAGCAGGAGAAAAGCGGCCTATGGACCCCCAACTCTTCCAGACGTGGAGGCTGAGTGGGTAGGCTCAGCATCTCCATGTCAATGAATCATAGTTTAACCCACTTTTCATGTTTTATTGTTTTTTTTTAATTGATACAAGATCTAACTCTGTGTCCAGGCTGTCTTCAAACTCTCAGTGATTCCCCTGCCTCAGACTCCTGACTGCTTGATTGCAAGTATTAGCCATCATGCCCACCTTTAAGGAACTCTCAAAGCTATAACAAGATGTGGTACCCACCCTACCCTGGGTCGTGCCAAGCTTTGCTAGGCAGCTGGGGACTCCATTGTTCCCCAGCACTAGCCGAGCTGGCACATCCAAGAAGGATGTCCACAGTCTTAATGGAATGAGACACATTGGCAGACCACGGCAGTGTGCTCTGAGGATGTGCCAGGCTCCGTGTCCTGCCCACTAGAAGGCTGTGCTTGCCACGCGGGCTCCATGAAAGCCTCTGCAGGAGGCTCATTTCTAGTCTAATCTAATTACATTCTCTTGCCCGTTGGCGGAATGTGTTGGCTTTGGGACAGAGACGGAGCTAGAGATTTGATTTGGACCAAACTTGTGATTCATTAGTGCTGGGATTAAGAACTGACCGGTTCGTTCCCATGCTGACAGCAGCTTGCTCCTTGCTTCCTGCTGGGCAAATGTTGGGTATGGAACCCTCGAGCCATGTCCAGCCCTCAGTCTCCCGCCCTTTCCATTCAGTCCCCTATGTAGAAGGTGAGCCATGAGTTAGAGGACGGATACTGTATCCTATCTAGGAAACAGGGTTGCCATCTCAGGAAAATGACTGGATAGAAGGTGAGGGATGAGTAAGAGGATGGATACTGTATCCTATCTGAGACACAAGGTTGCCATCTCACGAAAATGACTGGATGCCTCTTTGATAAGGGTAGACTGGCTCACTCTGCAGTGGCACACTGGTCAAAGGGAGGAGATGTGGGATTCCCCTCTGTATGCTGTGAATATGATTGGTTAATTAATAAAGAAACTGTCTTGAGCTTGCACAGGGAATAGAGGTAGGTGGGGAAAAACTAAACTGAATGCTGGGAGAAAGGAGGCAGTGTCAGGGAGAAGCCATGTAGCCCCTCCGGAGACAGACACCGGAACTTTACTGGGTAAACTGTTGCCACATGGTGATCCCACATGGAGATGGGTTAGATTTATATGTAAGAGTTAGCCAATAGGAAGCTAGAGCTAATGGGCCAAGCAGTGTTTTAAATAATATAGTTTCTGTGTGATTATTTAGGGGCTGAGCAGCCAGGAACCAACAAGCAGCCCTCCTCCAACGGGAAGGTTCCCTAGCAAGCCTGGAATCACTGAGGAAAGGCTGCCAAACTGACAACACCCATGGGCCATGCCCCCAGCATTTGTAAGTGGGACGGACGTGTGGGTTGTGCAGCTCCTGGGAGAAGCACTCACCCCACCCCAGGCCCCGTAGGCCACTGTTCACAGACTCAGCACAGAAGCCATTTAATGCTAGCATTCACGTTAATACCATCCAAAGCAAGCCAAATGTTCCCAGGCAGCGGAGCGTGAAGAATTCATCCTGTTTGGGTGCCAGTCTCCAGCTTCAAATTAGTAGATGTCTCAACTCTTCACTTTCTTTCTTTATCATGTTATTTCTTATCTCTTATTTTCATATTTCAAGACTGTATTTTAATTCTGCTGCTGCCCCACTGCCCCCGCCCTGCCCCCCTCCTGCACGGTGGCGTGCTGAGGGTGTGATCTCTGACTGCTTAGCTGCTGCCCTGGTAGCTTCCTGCTGAGGGAAGGGAATGCTGTACCCAGAGCTTGTTTCTGAAGGCGATTCCAGCCCGCAGTTCTACACAGGGAGGGCATGGCATTGAGACAGTGTTGCTGATCCTGGGAGGCTACTCCCTCCCTGAGAAGTCCCGGCTTTGTGTCTAATAGATGTGCCCAGAGACCCAGGGTCCAGTATCCACACAGGGGATGTACTGGGAAATCCACTGCCTTAGAGAGGGGTTCCTGATCGTCCCAAAGCAGAGGTGAGGGGAGAAGGTGGTGGGCCAGGAGACAAAGAGGGCACTATGCCCCCAGGAGACAGATACATACCATGAAACAGACACATGGTGTCTGCCCTGCCCCCAGGAGGTAAAAAGCCTTCGGCCAGTCAGCAGGAGATTTCAAACCATTTCTCAGACACAAAGGCCACAGGGATGAGATGCCGATCTGCAGATGAGGATCTGTGGAGAGCAGAGAAGGAGGCTTGCATGAGCCATGGGAGCCAGCACACGACAGGCAGCTGGTCAGCCTGCAGGGGGAGTCTGTTCTCTGGAGATGGGTCTTTCCCAGCCTTTACATAGAAGGATCACTATGGCCTTGCAGGTCCCCAGGGCCGAGGGACTCAGTTGTGGAGGTGGGGTGACTAGCCATCTCTCACTCTTGTACCATCTCCAGATGGCTTTGGGACAAGCCCAGAGCCAGGGTCTGTGCTTCCAAAGGCGAGACTGGATGCATAACATTGCGTATGATAGAAAGGACAGACCCTAGTTCCTAAAATGCCCCCCTTACAGCTTGTCGTTGAAACCAGGTGACTGTGATGGTTAGCTTTATCTACCAATTTGACATACTTAGAATTACCTAGAAGAGAGTCTCAATGAGGGATTATGGGGATCAGTTTGGCCTGTGAGCCTGTGTGTTAACTGATGTGGGGAGAATTCAGATCACCATGAGCGGTACCATTCCCTAGGCAGGGAACCCCGAACTGTATAAAAGTGAAGGAAACAGGCCAGCAGGTAGGCGTAGTTCCTTTTCTCTGCTCCAGACTGTAGACGTGCTGGCAGCTGTATGCCTGTGAAGGCCCTGCTAGGACGGACTGAAACCTGGGGTTGTAAGCTGAATACACCCCTGTCTACCCCAAACTGAATTTTGTCGGGGTTGTTTATCACAGCCAACAGAAACAAAGCAGGCAAACGACCGCATCCCAGGCCCAGCGGCAGGCACCAACGTGTCACCTTCCTGGTTCTGGATCAGGGTGCGAGACGGCCAGCCACCCAACCTCTACAAGGGGACATGGGCGTGGCACATGCGTTCACTGCAGCATAGGAGTTCCCTGCAGCCAGCAGCACAGGAGCAATGAACTGTGATGGCTCTGGTGGCCAGCAGAGGTGGGTGTCCAAGCCACCTCTGCTTATAGGGAAAGCAGCAAACAGGATGGGAGATGCAGGGTGACCCAGAGCTGACCTCCCAGCCAAGGTCGCAGGGGACCCTCTCATCCAGTTGCTGAGACTGGGGGTGGGGGAGGGGGCCTTCAAGGCATACGAGCAGCCTGCTAACTGCCTTATTTTTTTTCCCTTCTTTTCTTTTTTTTTAATTTACAAATGATGCATGGGTGCATGGTCACTTAAAAAATAGCTTATTGATATTTTAATTTAATGCTGGACAAACCTTGGGCAGCTGACTCAGGGGTTTCTTGACCGTTCCCGGGGATGGTTGGAGAAGTGTGTCTTCTTTGAGAGATTATCCATGAATAATAAAAGAGCATTTAATAAGAGACTCCAGTCTGGAGTCTGCTTGGTATTTGCTATTTTTTCTGAGCTGGCTGCTGACATCTTATTGACAAGAGTCTCAGAAACACTGACTGTGGGAGGGACCTGTCATAATCTCCTGATGCTCCAGAGGGCAGTGAGTACTAGGCTGGCTTTGAACTCTGAGTTGGGGGGTGGGGTTGGGGCAGACATTCAGCCTCCAGGCATAGGAGTGAGGGGTCTGGGTAGGGTTTTCACTAGGCTGCTGTTGTGCCTTCCAGGGGTGGCTAACACCTGTTGATTGTACTTCACTGCTATTGTTTTGACAAATCTGTTGTCTGCAAGTGCTGGGCCCCTGAGCGACCCACAGATTGACAGGACAGGATGACAGTGCCACACAGAGAGCCTTGGGGACGGGGATCGCACAGAGCTCACCGGTTTCCGTTGAATGTGGACTTGTATTCCCCAGCGGAGTGCAGTGTCTCATCAGCGTACACGGGCATGGATGCCCTGACACACTCGTGGGAACACTGCAGTGTCTCATTGTAGGCCGTGAAGATGTCCACGCTGCTGGGCACCCGGGCCGGGGTGAAGTCCGTTAAGTTCTGACAGCTTTCCTCCTGCTGGTTCATCTTTCGCTGGTGGCTGTTCCTCCGAGTGTGCCCGCTTGGGGCACAGCTAGGAGAGAGAGAGGAGAGGTGTGAGGGGGTGGGCATGTGCTGGAGCGATGTGCAGACCTCTCCCACACAGTGGCAGTGAAGCCTTACTGCCAGGCATCATTTATATTACACAGTAATTCTCGGCCTCTTCAGAAAGATCAACCACAATCAAGTAATCAGCTCCCCCCTCCTTTTTTTTTCAAATATAAAATCTGAATTTTAAATGTGGCCATTATCACAGGAGAGCTTGGAGGTGAGTGAGTAGTGATGAGGTTCCGGGACCTTGTTTGCCTAAAGAACATCAGCTAGACTGAGGGGCTGACTCGGTTTCCCTCCGAGGGATGGAAAGGTTGATAGTGCTCACTGTCACTGTGGGAGAGCCTGGGCTGGTACGAGGGGCCTCTGGGGATAGCCTAGGGTGCAAGGCTGCTGGATGAACTGATGAGAGGGAGCCCCTGGCTGTCACCTCACCCAGAACACGTCTGTAAACTGGGAACAGTGGCTCACGCTAGTCCCTGCCGGGGTCTGACAAAGGGATGGTCTCACGCCCCGTGAGCTCTGCCTAATTCCCTACAGTTCTGACTGAGGGGGCTTCCAGTGGCCCTGGAGCATGAACCAGGGACCCCACTCTCATCGGTGCAGGAATGCCATGTGGAATGTGAGGGGACACTGAAGTGAGTGTCCTGTCTTCGTGGGTGCCACTTTATGCCTTGCTATGTCCCCTAGGCGGGGGTGGGGGAGTCTGACTGCCCCTGAAAGTGAGCCGGAGGCAGAAGGCCCCTCAGCAGAAGAGGCTGAGCCCTGCTGGCCCTCCTCACCCACCCCTGGATGCTCTCCCAGAGGGAGGGGTGGCCTGTCATGGAAGGGGTCACAGTCTTCTCCCGAGAAGGCCATGATGCTGCACTGTCCCACAGGTGTGCGTACCTGGGGTGACCCCCATCTTCTGCTCTAGAGGCTCTGTGGGACATGCATTGTTATCCCTGTGTCCTGGATCCACCAGGGACCCACCTGCGTAGCAGGTGCGAGGCCAGTAGAATGGGGTTTGTCCTGGGCTGTGTCCTCCCCTTTGCTACCTACCTTTGGCTTTCACCCATTTCTGGGTCTGTCCAGTTGCTGGAACCCTACTTGTCAATCACGTATATCTGGGAATCATGGGGGCACACTGCTCTGCTGGTGGACTTGAGCCTCGAAGCTCACAGCACTAGATAAATGCCTTTTCACGTGACTTCAGGTGCTGCAGGCAGCAAGGAACCCTAGCACTCCCCTCAGTTTCTTGGGCTATGACAGATGTACACACCCAACAAGGCCAGCCTCAAAACAGCCCACTTTACAGGAGGGGACAGGGAAGGAAAAGCACCTGCAACAAGGTAACAATCTAGGTTAGCAGAGAGCTGCTGCTGAAGGGGACAAGGGGACGAGGAGGCTGGCGGGTAAGCTGCCTGACCTCAGTGGAGGGCAATGGGCCTGGAGGGGTCGGAACATCCTGCTGCTGCTTTCCTGCCTTTCAGAAAGGCACGGACTGCACCCCAGCAGGCGACACACACAGATGCATGTGGGTCCAGACGGCTGGGTGATGGGAGAACCACATAATCTGGGAAACCATGTCACGAAGGCTGAGCCTCTTGTGCAGAAGCAACACTGAGGGCTGCACGAGGACACAGATCTGGCTGAAGCCAATGTTGGCCATGGTACCTGTGGCTGTAGTCACCTGGGACTGCCTACTCCAAGGGAATGCAACCTTAGGCTGTCACTCAGGACACAATGTCTCATTTGATAGGGTCTCGTGTATCATAGGCTGTGTAGCTGAGGATGACCAAGAACTTCTGATCCTCTTCCCTCCACTTCCTGAGTGCTGGACCAACGCACTCAGTATGTGAACAGCTGGGATGGATGCCAGAGTCTCGTGCAAGCTGGGCGAGCATTCTGCCAATCGAGTGAAAGACTCATCTCGAGGCCCAGTCTTAAAAAGTTGGGGCTCTCTGTGCAGCTCCCCTGGGCACCCCACAGCCCCCCCCCCCCCACTCCCGGGCCTTACCAATTTTTTAAGACAAGAGTTGTGATGAGTGCAGCGATGACCATGATGAGGGAGACGGTGATGGTGATGATCTGATGCACAGCCAGACCTGGAGGGAGGAGACAGAGGCGGAGTCAGAGCGGGGAGGGGCGGGGCTGGAGCTGGCGAGGGGGGGGGCAGACTGAAGGACAACGGGCAGTGCTTGGGTGTTTGTCTGAAGCACCAAGACTGTTCTCACGCGGGCCCACAAAGAGAGTCCCCAGCCATGACCTCTTCCCCACAGTCAGCATCTTAGCAGGGACCTGGCCACGGGCAGCTGTACGCTCAGTCTGATGCTTTTATCTGAATTCAAGTAACTCTGCTGAGATTCCCAAGCCCTGCCCCCTTCCCTTGCCTGGGGCAAATGTTCTGTTTCTCCATTCTGGAGACAAGAGCACGGGAGAGGGACTGGCCTGGACCACCTAGGACTTTTAGAAGATGGGTCCCCTAGCCGCAGACCCTGAAGGCAGTCTCCCCAGGATTGTCTCCTGTCCCTACAGTCTTCCCCGTCATTCCTTGCTTGCAACGTTAGTTCCTACTAGTGAAGGAATGAGGATAGGCTGAGGTCCTGTGATGCAGCCTCAGAGCCCTGTCCCTCTCCCCAGTAAAGAAAGACAGTGGTCAGGACCATGGAGCTGACAGAATGCAGAGAGACGGGCAGGGCCACTTCAGCAGCAGGACAGCCAGAGACTAACAAACATTTGCTGGCCCTGCAGATGGCCAAGGTCAGGATGTCTCTGCCATCCCCTTTTAGGTGCAGGGCAGAGGGGAAAGGGGGGTACTAGCTCCCACCTCTGATTGCACCCTAGGCCACATTCCTCTGGACCTCATCTGCCACAGCCTTCCCGGGAACAAAGAGTATCCCCAGTCGACTCTACCGGCCAGCCAGAATGATCTGCAAGGTACACAGCTCTGGCTCTTTCCTGATATTGGCAAACATGGGACCTGAAAAGAAGATCAAGGCAGCTTGGGGAACCTCCAGGGGAAAGCATCATCCTCCAAGGGCTGATGTGTTTGGGATGCACAAGCCCTGTCCTGTCTCTACCCCAGCACCCAGTTCTAACACCCACTCCCCAGACTCCAGCTCGTCACATCTGATGGATCTGGGGTGTTAGGGCACATGTTCCCATGTGGCAGACTGCAGTGTTCAGAAGTTGCTGGCCGCCTCCCAGAGACCATCACACAAGCAGATGTTACTTTCCTGCTAAATATGATCATCAGGGGAGACTGTTTTATGAGTGATTCCAAGTTGGCAAGGCCAGAGCACATGTCCCGACTTTCCCCACCTCCATCTTTTGTGGCGAAGGGCCATTTTCCTGAATGATTCCCGCTCTGGCCCCCACACAAGAAACAGTGGAGTTGACATGAGTATCACAACCACCTGGTGTGGGAAGTCCTTCTATCTATGTGTTGCTTTTATTGGTTAATGAATAAATCTGTTTTGGCCAGAGGCTTAGCAGACTAGGGCAAGGCGGGAGTTCCAAGCAGGTAGAGGAGGAGAGAGTAGGCAGAGTCAGTGAAAAGCCATGTAGCCCTGCTGGAGACAGACACCGAATGGAACTTTACCCAATAAGCCACAGTCATATAACAATGCACAGATTGATAGAAATGAATTAATTTAAGATATGAGTAAGCCAGAAATATGCTTAAGCTATTGGCTGAACAGTATTGCAGATGATACAGTTTCTGTGTGATTATTTTGTGGTCTGGGCAGCTGGGAACGAACAGCAGCCTTCTGCCAACAGTGACCCTCCCTCTCTATCTGTTCCCTCAAGAGCCACAGTGGTGCATTTTCTCTGTGCTGTGCGGTGCTTGCAATGGCCATCTCAACCATCGTGGCTGCCTTCAGGAAACAGCAGTTAGATACCATTTGCTTTGATGTTGTAGCTCTAAAGGCTCATTTTAGCCTGTGACTCCCCAAATACCTGTGCTCACTTTGGGGCACTTGCTTTAGACTTCTGGGTAAGTAGCCTACTCCTCCAAGACTGCCATTCAGCTTGCGAGTGGGTTTAAAGCCAGGCTAGATTGCAGAAGCCACCTTCAATCTCACCAACAGGAGTCTCTGCTAACTAAGGTCTAAGAACCACCAAAGATCTCACTGGCAGGGGGATCATTGCAAGGGCTGGGCTGTTTAGTGGAGAACCATAGGAAGGGTGTTATCTGCTCAGTATCCTGTCATGCTGTATCCACACATTCCCTTAGAGTGGTCAAGAGGTAGCTATGTCATTCTGAAGCACACATGCTGTTTCTTCGCCTGTGCATACAGCAAGAGGAGGAGGAAGCTGATGGAAAAGACGGCGATGATGGTGATGATGTTTATAGTGGCAATGTGCGGCTGCTGCTGTTCCTAATGATGGCAATGATGACCGTGCTGTTGGTGATAAAGTGAGGATGGGGATATTGGGGATAAAGGTGATAATATGGTGATGTCAAGAGGGTGGTGATGATAGTGGTGATGGTGATGATGGTGGTGATGGTAGTGGTGATGGTGATGATGGTGGTGATGGTAGTGGTGATGGTGATGATGGTGGTGATGGTAGTGGTGATGGTGATGATGGTGGTGATGGCAATGATAGTGATGATGGTGACGGTGATGATGGTGGTGATAGTGATGATGGTGGTGATGGTAGTGATGGTGGTGATGATGATGGTGGTGGTGATGATGATGGTGGTGATGGTGGTGATAGTGATGATGATGGTAGTGATGGTGATGGTGGTGATGATGATGGTAGTGATGGTGATGATGATGATGGTGATGATGGTGGTGGTGATGATGGTGATGATGGTAGTGATGGTGATGGTGATGATGGTGATGATGGTGGTGGTGATGATGGTGGTGGTGATGGTAGTGATGGTGATGATGGTGATGATGATGATGGTGATGATGATGATGGTGGTGATGATGATGATGGTGGTGATGATGATGGTGATGATGATGGTGGTGGTAATGATGGTGATGATGGTGATGATGATGATGATGGTGATGATAGTGGTGATGATGATGATGGTGGTGATGGTAGTGATGATGATGATGGTGGTGATGGTGGTGATAGTGATGATGGTGGTGATGATGATGATGATGGTGGTGATGATGATGGTAGTGATGATGATGATGGTGGTGATGGTGGTGATGGTGATGATGATGGTGGTGATGATGATGATGGTGGTGATGGTAGTGATGGTGGTGATGATGGTGATGATGATGATGGTGGTGATGATGATGATGGTGGTGGTGATGATGATGGTGGTGGTGATGATGATGGTGGTGATGATGGTGATGATGATGGTGGTGATGATGGTGATGATGATGGTGGTGATGATGATGGTGGTGATGATGATGATGGTGATGATGGTGATGATGATGGTGATGATGATGGTGGTGATGATGATGATGATGGTGATGATGGTGGTGATGATGGTGATGATGATGGTGATGATGATGGTGATGATGATGGTGGTGATGATGATGATGATGATGATGATGATGGTGATGATGGTGGTGATGATGGTGATGATGGTGGTGATGATGATGGTGGTGGTAATGATGATGGTGGTGATAGTAATGATGGTGGTGATAGTGAAGACAGTGGTGATGACAGCGGTTATAGTGATGGTAGTGGAGATTGGTAAGGAGGGCCATGGTTCCTAAGATTGTAGAAGTGACGATGTTGATTTTGGTGTCTTTGTGACAACGGTGATGATGGTAATCCTGACAATGATGGCAGTGTGATGTTGACGATGAAATACATTTAGAATTTGGTGGTGGTGATGATAGTCACAACCATCAACAACATTACTCAAATTCTCTTTGTGACCATCATTATCAGCCTCATCCCTTCACAATCAACGTCGTGGTCATTATGGCTGCCATTATCACAGTGAGGATGGTGGTGACGGTGATGATCATAGATACACACTCAATAAGCAGCAGTGTGCTGTTCTCCTGTGTAGTCCTGGCAACACCTCTTAATGGTAGAGTCTACAGTTACTGGTCTCGGAAGGGAGAATCACCCAGGGAATCTGTGTCCAGTCCTCAGATCATGTAGGACCCACTGGCTCCAACACAATTGTACTGCCCAGCCCTGGGCAGTCTTGGTTAATCTAAGCATTGCGTGTTAATCTGCTTTCTCCCTGACTCCGTCAGAGGCCAGTTCCTCTCCCCTTGTAAGCCTGCCCATGGAGGCAGATACTCACCCCCACCACTTCTTCTGTAGGAAGGCTCCATGGACACTGCTCCAGGACAGGCCACAGGCCTTCCAGACACATCCCAAAGCCCATGTCAAAAGCTACATCTTTGTTCCTTATGGTGGTGAATGTGCCACATTCTAGGTCAAGGCTAGAGAACTCAGTGGCTGGGCACATGGCAGATGAAAAGAGCAGATGGCAGAGGAGCGTAACAGCAGCATCAGGGGCTGGCTTACTAGGGTCCTCCAGGGGCAAAGAGGATCCCCTCACAGGGACAACAGACTCTGCTGTACACTTCCAGTATCTTCAGGATCAGAGCAGACTCAGGGTGCCTCAACCCTGACCTCTTTTCTTATTTCTGAGAGAATCCTTTCGTGGAGCCAACTATCTGCAGATGCCCGAGTTCACAGAGAAGAGGACCACAGGGCATCTTCCACACTGAATACCTCACCACCTTCTCTGCAGGTGAGACTGGAAAAACACTAAACCTACTCTTTTGATAGGTGGAAGAAACAGAGGCCCAGAGAGGAAAATGGTTGATTCAGGGGACCCTCCTCAGTGATGGCTCTAAATGAAGAATACTGGCCTTTGGCTATGATCCTTGTGAGTTTTCAAACCCCTTCAAAAGGACTCACGTCATCACCATCTGTGCATCTGCGTCTATGCCCTGCACACACAGCCTTGCCGAGAACCTTGCAGTAGTGGTTATATGTCAAATCGCTGTATTTATTACTAAGAAGCAATAAATGAGGGAACTAGGAACAAAGGTGGACTGGTTAGGTTTTCATCAACTTGACACAAACTAGAACCACTTGGGACAAGAGACCTTAGTTGAGGAATGGCCTCCATCGAACTGGCCTGTGGGCAAGTCTGGGGATTCATTTT